CTTTTTAAGATAAAAGATTTTAAATTACTTAACTAAATTATGGTTTTAAAAAGCACAGCTTTCTGGATATAAATCATCCAGTTAACAGTGCTGTTCAGTACCTTGGTTTCTTTTTTTGGTATATTTGCATATCGCATCCAGAGCTACAGAGTTTCCACAGTGCTTTTCTGCCTCATTCAAGTATAATCAAAGTAGAAATCTATAGAAGCTCTAAGGTTAAACAAACTGTACATTATACAAAAATTAACTTAGTTTACAGACAGTCAAAAAGTATTGGCAATGCCCTTTATAAATCTTACCAAAGGTTCGTCACAAAGGGTATTACAATCTGCACATGCGGTCATCACCATACAAAGGCCGTTTAGATTTATGTGGTACAGACTGAGCATTCGTTAAATGTACACACGTAGAATCAGCATTTTGCACTATATACATTTCTTTTAAAGTAACAATATTGTTAATACTAAACTAAGGTTCAGGATTTTCTTATTGCATATTTATTGTTGCTGAGGCAGTTAGTTATGATACAATAATGCAATATCCATAATTATTTTAAATAAACAAAAACATTTCTTCTGGCAACATGATAAAGAATATTTTTCTCCAAAATCACATAGAACATTGCTACATACAGTTTTACACAAATACTGAAAAACATGACCTAAGGCATCTGCTGGAAAAGCAGATGTGCATATTTATATGAACTAAAGTATGCAGGAAAAAATATTGCACAAAATCCTATTATTTTCAAAATAAAACATGCTTCTTTCTAAATACACGTAATTCTCTACCTTGACCAAATCAAAATGTTAACTGGTTTGCCCAAAACAACTCTGCCTCTTAAATAAGCTTTAAGAAACAGACACTAACAAATTTCCGGGCTCGACATAGGATAGATGTCGGTACTGACCGAGAGTCTGTAAAAACGATTTCCTATATTAAGAAGTGCTTGGGGGAATTAGATACGGGTTTTCATTTTACAATTATATTCTGATTTACTAATATTTATCCAGAATCAGGGTCTTTTATGGAATCTGCATTAGAAAATTTATAGTTGAAACAAAATGGAATCTGCATTAGAAAATTTATAGTTGAAAATAATCTTTTCCTGAAAATCCAGATTTTCTAGAAGAGAAGGAAGATCTACTGATTATAAGAATATGCACGGTTTTCTCTTCTTGATCAAGAGTCTACTTCTTCACCTTATTTAAGAAACAACTAATTTATTAGCATTCCTGGATCCTATAATCCTAACAGCACTGTCACATATAGTTTAAATTTAAAAGGGGTGGTACTATTTCTACAGAAAGCTGTTATCAAGATAAAGACAGTAAAAACTAGATTCCCATCGACATGCATCCACACCCTCAGCTAATCCTAAACTGAGTAAAGTGGCCTTAAGTATTGCAAAGGAGCCTCATTCCATCATAGAGAGCCCTATGCTGCCTGGTGAAAAGACTAGGCATCGTGGTGATAGAGAATCAGATAAACAGGGACACTTAGTTTCTAAGAGTCTCTGAATTTGTCCTTTAAAAGTAGATATCTTAGATAGCAGCATTATTATACTTTGTATAATAGAGAAAGTAAATTAATGAAATTAGAAACAGTACTACAGTTCTTTACTTAGAGCATATTTTAGACTAAGCAGCTTTAAAAGATCCTTTTTTTTTGGTGTTAGAATCTTGGGCTAATAACGTCTAAGCAAAATATATTATTATTACTATTATTATTATTATTATTATTAACAACAGAGATTTGCAATTCCTTTTCCTTTTAATTGGTTCCTGCAGAGCAGGTCAATTATTTCCCTACCTCCTCAGTTACTGTACCTTGCATATGACCAGTACAAAGAGTCAATAAATATTTCCTAAACGGATGTTATTAATTTTTAATCAGAAAAAGAATCATGCTATATTTTGATGCCTTTCTAAAAATATGCTAAAGTAGGTAACCATGAAAATGTACCCCTTAACAACACTTTCACTTGACAAAACCATAGTTCCTAAATTCACATACTCCTCTTCTCTCCCTGAAGTACCTCGGACGTGACGTCTAAGGGCAAAAGGAGAAAAGCCGGATCGGCCTGCGGGAGGATCGCCACTGTCTGGGGGCCACAGGAAGACCACATCCCAAGGCCATGAGTCTTACTGGTTTACACAATTCTGTTGTAGAACATGTGTCACTTCTCTTTGAAAAAGAAAATTCAAACAGCAGGGGAGGTTACAAATATTTGGTTTAGTTATAACAGAAAATATGAACCTAGAAGAAAATAAGATAATACTTGTATTTCAGAACTCACCTTAATTTCACTTCCTTCTCCATACAGCCATCATAATACTGGGAAGTCTAGTTTAAGAGCAGACTTTGAATACTCAAAAATTGAATGGTTTGAAATACTAATACTATGAGTCTTTTGGATTTTCTGAGAATAACATGTAGAGTTTTTGCTTTTGCTTTTGTTTCTAACGTGGAATATAACAGCTGATTATTATGTTAAAATAAGGCACAAATCCAGCTTAAAATACCTTGATGCAAATGTTACTTGTGAGTGGCTAAATATCCTTAAAATAACACAGCATTATAGTCAAGCATCTTGTGAGGTGACTGAAAGACAGAAAATTCTGAGGCCGTGATGTTTATTAAGCAAATGCACTAAAACCCAAATTTTGCCTATGCTACACTCACGATTATCTCATCCTGCAGACTACGAATTCTGAAAGAAAAAAATACCTCCTTCCAATATCCATATTAAAAGGCTGCTTTACATTCTTTTAAAAAATTATGAGGGAATATCTGCCGAGCAGAATAACAACCAGAGTGACCTTTTCTCTTTCTCATTTAGAACAGCTCTGCTGATCAATGGACTTCTTTTATTATGTGTCAATAAAGTAAAATGGAATTTTGTAATGAGTATAAAAAGGCAAAATTTGATAAGAACCTTGAGTCTTACTTTTGTGTTAAAAAAATAAGGATTAAACACTTTTTTCCTTAATATATACAGAGTCCATCCTTATAAAGAAAACAAGATTTGTCTTCCTTTATAAACATGAATAATCGTTCCAAATAAAACATATCCATTTAGATTTTGGAATGCAGTTTAAAAAAGAAAAAAACTTGGTCATTTTCTTTGAATTATTTAAAGACTGACCTAGATAAATATTTTTAAGCAAGGTTTTTAACAAACCCCCTTCCAGGGCTTTTTTTAAACTGAAAATTACATTCTTTCAGTAAATATTTTAGAGTGCAGTCCTGATGGGTTCTTGAATGGTTTCTGAAACACCTTTTTTAAAACGACAATTTCTAAAAAATAATCATGATTGGGGATGTTTAGAGTATATCTATTGAACATACTGATAACAAATGAACCATAACATCATTGTTTTTTCTTCTGATTATACCTGTTAATCCGGCCTATCAGGAAGTAGTCAACGCACGGCTCCTTCGCAGATGAATTTCAAAGCTTAACAGTGAATTTGAGGCAGAAGAGACAACTCTCCCACGGAGAAGAATTCCAAATAATTTATGTAGATACTCTGCCTCAAAGAGGAGGAAGCATAAGCCCCTACTCCTTAAGTGTGGGCTGTACCTATTGACTTCCTTCCAAAGACTACAGTGTGGAAAGGGAGAGAAAGGAGTAACTTTACAGTGGAGAAACCGGACAAACACGGCCTCAGCGAGGTCATCAAGGTCAACAGCAACATTCACAAATTATATGGACAGTATGCACCCTTGCTATGATGTGATAAAAATGGCACTTTACTTCTGTAATCTTCCTCCCCCAAAACCCATAATCCCAGCGTAATCATGAGAAAAACATCGGACAAATTCCAATAGAGGGGCATCCTGCAATATATCTGACCAGTATTCTTCAAAACTGTCAAGGTCATCGAAAACAAGGAAAGCCTGAGAAACTGTCACAGCCAAGAGGCATCTAAGGAGACATGACAACCCAATGTAATGTGGTGTCCTGCGTGGGATCCTGGAACAGAAAAAGGACATCAGGAAAAAACTAAGGCAACCTGAATAAAGCCTGGACTGACTATCAATACCGGTTCGTTAACTGTGGGGAACGTACCATACTAATGTAAGATGCTGGTAACAGGGGAAATGGTGTGCAGAGTTATGTGGGAACTCTCTGTACTTTCTTCACAATTTTTCTATAAATCTAAAACTTCTAAAATATAAAGTCAATTATTTTAAACAGTAAATTTGAGATGACATGAAGCATTCTGATAGAGAATTATTAGTTAAGAGAAAAAAGACCATTTTTTATCAGGGCAGTTCATGTTGCATTTGGCTTTCTAGGGGTGGGATCTGGATATACACAAAGGCATACAGAGAGACAGTAACAATTTTTTAAAGTGTCTCATTTGTAAACAGAAGTCATTGTAATTTTACAATGTTTCACATTGTAATTCAGTACTTCATATATTTCACTGAGTGACAGGTAAATGTGTACCTTTATACTTTTTTGGAAAACGTGGCTGCAGTATCCACAAGAGAGCTTTTTAACTTTGAAAAAATGAATTTTGTCCTTGATTCAGTGAGTAGAAAAAGGCAATATTGCTCTGCAGAACACACACAACTTATCTTTCAAAATTTACATGTAATTCTACAAATTATTTAAGTATGCTTAAAATAGGCTTAAGATTAAGGCAATTAGTGGGTCAACAGTTTCAGCAGTTTCAGGCTAGTTCTGTTAAGTTTTGATATCTTGATCAGTTCATGCTCAACCAGATTAGTATAGTTGCTACTGGTTATATGCAAGGGTTATATATGCATATTTAGTTTAAATAAAATGAATGGCATTAAGCACCAAATACTGGGAAATCATCAATATCTACTTTCAACATACATACAAACTAGTACCTGATTTAACAGCACAGTAGAAGAATTAGCTTTACATTTAAAAATCAATGGATAATATACACCCATGAGATGAACGAATGGGGGAAATGCATGTTCCAAATGAAAAATAATTTTCAGACAGTAGTAAGAGCTGTCATTCCTATAAATAATTGTTTACTATATCTATCACATGGAATCCCAAAATGTCTCCATAGAAGTTTGGATGCAAGAGACTGAAATTGTTGATTTAAGCTTGGTTTCCACTTGTGTTCTCTTCTGAAATGTTTAAGTCCTGTTGGAAGGCAGATGTTATGCGACATAATGACACCACTTCATGAAGCAGTCCAGTGTCTTCTGAAGTCTCTTTGGCTTCTTTCCCTTTCTTCTCCCAAGGAACAAAAGTAGATGCGCGTCGCCCAAGGCTGGGTGTAAGCAGATCATCTGAAGTCTGGCTTAGTGTTTCCTTCTGTTCCGTTCTTCCTTCTTCAGTTTGGGAAACTTTAGGCGCAGCTGGCTGGAAACCCAGTCCTGACGCAGACGCTGGCTCCTCCACTGTGGGAGGCCCACTCACGCTGACACCACTGAGGTGCTTTTCACTGGTTTCCTCTTTCAGGATAAAGAGAGAATCTGCCAGGCCCACAGAGGAAACCCGCTTCCTGGGGGATGGAGGGAGCTGTCTGCCATGGAGGGCGCTGTCATCCTGCCCGAGATGCCACTCCGCTTGATCACCAGAACCGCTGCAGAGTAGGGCTAGGTTATTCTCACTAGGCGCATTGGATTTATTCTGAAAGAAGAAACAAATTCAGAAAATTTTAAATAAAATTATAGCATTACTTTAGCAATTTTTTGTTTCCATTTTGCAATCAGTATTAATATCTTTCAAGGCTGGGAACTTGAAGTTCCTCCCAGAGGAACTATATCATTGATAGTTAATTCTGAATACCTCCAAATCGCTCTATTAATAGCACTGAAAGGAGCTGGACATTGGTTTCCATGTCCTTGAGACTGTCACCAATAAAATTCAAACTAGATTATAAGTATTGGCAAGGATGTGGAGAAAAGGGAACCCTTGTGCACTGTTGGTAAGAATGCAAATTGGTGCAGCCACTATGGAAAACAGTATGGAGGTTCCTCAAAAAAATTAAAAATAGAACTACTATATGATCCAGCAATTCCATTTCTGGGTATTTATCCAAAGGAAATGAAACCACTACCTTGAAGATATAGCTGCACCACATGTTCACTGCAGCATTATTCACAATAGCGAAGATATGAAAACAACCTAAATGTCCATTGACGGATAAATGAACGAAGAAGATGTGGTGTACATATACAATGGAATATTATTCAGCCTTAAAAAAGAAGGAAAGCCTGTCATTTGTGACAACATGGATGGACCTGGAAGACATGCTAATTGAAATAAGCCAGATATAGAAAGGCAAACACTACACAATCTTACTTATATGAGGACTCAGAAACAGCCAGAGTCATAGAAGTAGAGAGTAGAATGATGGTTACCAGGGGTTGGGGTGGGGTTGGGGAAGGGACTGGGGAGATGTTGGTTAAAGAGTACAAAGTTTCAGTTATGCAAGTAGAATTGGTTCTGGAGATCTAATGTACAGCACGGTGATTACAGTTAACAACAATGTATTGTTTACTTGAAATGTGCTAAGAGGGTGGATCTTAAGTGCTCTCAAAAAAAAAAGAAAATGTGAGGTGATGGATATGTTCAGTCACTTGATTGTGGTAATCATAATCACTTCACAATGTATACATATATGAAAACATCAAGTTGTACACCTTAAATACATACAATTTTTATTTGTCAATTATACTTCAATAAAGCTAAAAAATAAAATAAAAAGGATTTGCAAAAAAAAAAAACAACTCCAAAATAAAAAACAAATAGACATAGTAGATTACATAATCAATGCCACATTCTGGATTTACGTACAATCAGAACAGGGTTGCCATGACTTACACTTCAATCTCTCCTGTTTTTAAAGCACTCAGTTCAATTTGTTTAAAGCATTGTTCATTTTTGAAGCAATAAAATGAAAAATTACTTGAATTAATACATTTATTAAAAATTTCTTGAAGATCCAAGAAATACAGGGAAAAAGTGGGAACATTTCATGTTAAAAAAATTCCCCAGAAAAGACAACTATAAAATTAGAAAGAAAATATTACTTGACAAAAGAATTTCAATTAATGACAATAACCACCAGAATTGGATAAATAAAAGGAAAAATACTGGAATTTTGTTACTAGAAATAATTCTTAATGATTAAATTTTACATTTTTGAAGTTTTGACACATCCATTAGAGGTTAAACCCTTCTAACAACTAAGATTATAACATCAGGCAATCACAGCAAGGGTAAGGTGTTTTCATTTAACTTTATAAGTTGAAAAATCAACTAACCGTAGGTTTGTAATCAATATCATCCATTGATCTAAAGAAATCCAAGCTCTTTGCTGCTGCCAGCTTTCCTTGATCTGAGCTGTGTGTGCTCAATGTGTCGAGGATCTCTCCTAATAAGTCCATTTCACCTGAGTACGGAGTCTTTACTCTTGTTTCAACAGAGTCATCACTTTCATAAAAATAAGCAGAGGTTTCTTCACCATCTTCAGAAGATAACCTAAGAAGAATAAACCATGCACTAGTAGTTACACAACTACATATGCTGCATATCAGCAACGTCTCACCAATTACATTCAAGGAATGAGAGTTTTAAAACCAAAGTGATGTTTCAGTGAAACAACAACAAAATGGATAATTGGTTCACAGCCCAGTTCTTCATAGTGATGTATATACCGATTCAAATAGTGGAAATTTTAAGTAGTTTACGGTACCTTATCAATCTGGAAGCAGAAGCAAGGCTTTTCACACAGTCTAATCCTGTGTGATTTGGGACATTAGACTTAGAAATATCAGACTGAATACTCGGAGAGTTTGCTATAGCCTAAGTTCACTTTCAATATTTTTATATGGTTTTCTTTTTACTTATTTATTCACATTTTAGAGAAGAATGCATACTCCTTTATATAGACAAAGATATACTAAATGGAGAAAAAAGAATGTCCATTTTGTCATCTCCCATATGTTAAAATTGTTAAAAAGTTAAACATATACTATTATTATTTCCCTTATTTTATATTAAAATTAATTTTAACACTTTGTATGAAATTTTCCTCTTCTGATATCACCATAGACTTAAGTCCCTCCCACTCCCCCTGTTTCAACTGACTATTCTCACCGTTTCTGATAACTACCTGCCCCTCTTCAGTAGGAGGGTAGCAGTCTGACTTAGCTGGAGTTCCATTTCTCCTTTAACACCATCTCAGATATTTCTGTAGGCATTATTGCTTTCCAAGAACAAGGTATTTCAGGTCTATCTTGCATTCCCTTCTCAAGATTTATCCCCCATGAGACTCCAACGAGCACTGGTTCCTTTTGCAGAAGAACACTAAGAGAGCAAACTCTGATCTCTATGAGTGCACATTCTTTGACATATCTTTTGTAACCTGAAACTTGTGCCATTAAGCTACACTGCTTAATAGGCCACCCAAATCCATCACTTACTTGCTTGCACTTTCGATGTCATCGTCGTCATCATCATACAGAGCACCATCAAGGCTCTTCAGAGGCCTTTTTAAGCGTGCCTAGGGAGAGGAATTGACTGACTCGCATTAGTAGCTAAAATAAGTCTCTTGCAGAAATTTTAAAGGAATACTTTGATTTGATAAGGAACACTTTTAAAAGAAATATACATTCAGGGTTTTTGAATATTACCCAATAACCTGACAGGCTGGGCAGGCAGAAAGGGAGGGAATCAGGCAATATTTATCTCAACATTTACTTCCACCTCAAACTAATAAAAATCAAATCACTGGGTTGAATATATATAAACAATTGCACAATCACCCAGTCTGTCAGTCCCTGCTTTAGAAACACTTGACTTACGATCAATCATATCCCCATGCACTTATCCCCTGGTTTCAATAATCATCAGTATTTGCCAATCTTGTCTCTTTCATCCCTTACCCACAGACTCCCTCACCAGTATTTTAAAGCAGCCCCTCTCCATCCTCAAAGTGCATATACTTCTCTTGGAGATCTTGGTGAAAATGCAGATTCTGATTCTACAGTGGTTCTGAGGATGGGGCCCGAGTTTCTGCATTTCTAACAAGCTCTTAGGTGAGGTTAGTGCTGCTGGATCTGGAGGTCACACACGGAACAGCAGGGTTTTGAAGCCAATCCTACACAACCTATCATTTCACCTGTAAATACTTCATTAAGTATCTTTAATAGATAAAGATATTTTTTTCACAGAACCAAAATATCATTATAATACCTAACAAATGAACAATTATTCTTTAATATCTTCCATTCTCAGGCCATATTTATATTCCCTTATTACCCCAAAAATATTTTAGTTGGTTTATGCGGACCAGAATCTCAATGAGGTTAGCACTGTATTTGGTTGACAGGCTCTCAGGTCCCCTCAGAGGACTATCAGCCCCACCTCCCCTCTTTTATGCCATCTGCGTCCTTTAACATGTTTGATCCTCATTTCCTATAAACTGGCATTACATCTGGAAGCTTGGTTAGATTTAGTTTCTGTTCTGGGCAAGAAGAGGCCATGGGTGTTGATACATCTTTTTTATTGCATCACCTCAGGAGGCACATAATGTTGAGATGTCTCGCTTTGGGTGGTACTAAGATTAATGACTTCAGGTGCGGCTGGCTGATCCATCCATTATAAATTTTCATACCAGCCTTTCATTCAATGGTATTAGCATCCTATGACGATCATTGGCTAAATCCATTATTTCATTAGGGGCTTCAAAATTATGCTTTTCAAAAGCATTTTTTCTATATTTATTTGTTGGCATTCTATAAAGAACTTTGTCTTATTAACTATTTAGCTATCCTGAAATACAATGTATACTAAAAAGGCAGGATAAATCCTTGATTCTTTCCTTTTATTTAACAAGTAATGAGCTAATGCCCTAACAATCTCTAAAGGTGAGCCATGAAGGCTTTTAAAATATTATCATTTGTATATATTTGATGCGGCTCAACCCATCACAGTTATTATTATTCTTGATGTTTAATCTGTCCCATCTTTGAATTATACCATGATTATGTTTTTAAAATAGTTCTTATCTTTTAGAGATATATCTTGAAACATTTGCAGGTTAAATGATGTGCTATCGGGTATTTACTTAAAATAATCCAGTGGTGGAGAGGGACCATGGGTAGGGCTGGCACTGAAATAAGACTGGCCATAAGTTGATAATTGTTGAAGCTGTATGAAGGTATCTGGGAATTCTTTTAAGCTTCTCTTTGCTTTTGCATGTTTGAATCATGTTAAGCATTCTTTCCACAATAAAAAAAAAAAAAAACCGTCCCATCTTTGAACAGTGGTAGTCCTTTCAGGTTGGTTCTTCTATCCTTTAGACATGGCCTCAGAAGTAAGCTTCGTGCTTTTGGCACAACATGATGTCTCGTTCACTTTACACATTTTCTGCATCAGACCTGGAATCAGCCACTTCCTCTACCAGCTTTGGTTACCTTAAGTGGGAAATGGCATTAAAGACCAGCATCTGGGTGCTATGGGTGCTCATGGCTGCAAAGCATTCTTTTGAAAGGGCAGCAGCACAACTGAATTTGGAGACTTCAACCAAGATACCAGTAGAGGAATAACTTTCTTCTGATTTTAAGTCCCCAATACACATAACTGTTTTCTTTTATTACAGTCATAAAGAGTAAGCAAATTTCTGGAACCTATAGGAATTGATCCCTACTTGTCCACCTCCTCTATGCACTGCTGGTGATGGCAGAAAGGAAGGAAGGAATGGAGAAATATGTTCTTATAACCTCTGCTTGGAATGTATAGTGAGTTTCTCCATAAGCTTGGTGTTTAGCAATGTATCTGGGACCTATAATCGTAATAATCACTTTACAACTGTAAGTTTAAGGTAGATGAGCTAAATAGAAATTTGGGGAATGACCTCGGAACATGACTACCACTTACAACATAATTTCTGTGGGAAAAATACATTTCACCCACCCTCTCCGAAACTCACAAAATATAATATAATCCTTGGTTTCTAAAGACATGCCATTATTATTACATTGAATTCCATATATGCTTAGCATTATGCCAGCTAGGGCTCTTGCATTTAATTTTGTTGCTTAAAAACAAAACAAATCAAAACAAAAACCAAATAAACAAAACTACGAGGGAGCTGAGATTTTATGCTGTTATTTAAAAACTCATTACTCACTATTAAGAATTAATCTAAGAAGACAATAAATACATAACTTAATATTTATGTTTGTAGAGTACTTTGCAAAGCAACCCCGCCGCCGCCCGCACTCAGGACTGGGTTCTGGGAATACAGAGTGGAGTGAGGTTGCATCTCTGCCATTAAGCACACAGTAAATCTGGAGGCACACCAGAGAAGCTCCACGATCTGCCTAAGGTCACAACCTTATCGAGAACAGGAACCAGAAAACAGAACCGATGTCTTTCTCTGGTGTGTTGCCAGTCCCTCACTCATTTTCTTCCATAAGTTACGTTTATATTCTACATCCGCATGCATAAACCATAGAGTCTCAATTTTTTTAACTACAACTTTTTTTTTACAAAGCTACTATTTTTTCCACAATCTAAGTCATGATAGAGCTTCACAAGCACATTTGAATTTAGTTTTATATTTCTTAGCTAGGCCAGGGGTCTATCAATATCTAGATAGGGATGTTAAATAGTGTAACTTACAATGAATTTTCACAACAGAATTAGAATTAGAATCAGAAGTAACAGTGACTAATATAATGTATTCCTTTCTTTGGGTGTTAAGCTTTGTGCTACCTATACTCATAATACATATATTTACAAGTTATTTGGCTATCTGAAATAAGCTTCTGATAGTTATTGAACATGTATCAAGCATTAGAAACTGCACTCTGTATATGAAGTACCAAATCTCCAAACACATGGTGAATGTATCAATTGCTTGATGATTTCAAATTACATAATTAAGGTCACAAAAAAAAAAAAAAAAGGAGAAAAATAATTACAGTTTGATCAACATTCAAGGCAGAGAAAAATAACAGCTTATTTAACAAAAGCATCAGCAGCTTCTTAGCTTGTATGAACCCAGATTCTCTCCACATCCCTGTTTCTGGTGGACTGGGACTCAGGTACAGAGCTTTCAGGGGACATAAAGGATTGTTTCCACCATGCCCAGAACACATAACACAGGGCAAAGAGCCCCGGTCATAGCTTTATACATAGAAGTCTTTTATGGGTAATTAGTAGCAAAGAAGCTTAGACAGCAGAAAATACATTGTGCATTCTTCAGAGTGGTAACACACAGCCAATAACGGCACATCTTGATCTGGATTCACAAAGCAGATATATCACTATTGGAAACCTGCACATTAAACTACACAAACCAAAACAGAAATGACTAAGAAAGAGAAATACAATCTCAATACACACAATAAAAATTCACAACATATACATTTTTAAATGCAACTGACTACAGCTTTTGAGAAGGAATGCACATCTTCTTTATTCTTCTAAGTAAACAGATGCAGATGCCAGTGGAATGAATTTTGTATACTGCACATATTCAGAGAAAAATACGATTCTATTTCAGACCTGGATAGAAATCTCACAGTAGTAAGTGGACAACAGGAAAGTTTCCCAGGGTCAATAAACACTTTCCTCATAAACTGTTATCTAGAACTCCCTGATAAACACCAACATGGTCATAGTATGGCCTATATTTGGGAAGAGAGGCTTTTTTTTTTTTTGGTGAGGAAGATGAGCCCTGAGCTAACATCTGTTGCCAATCCTCCTCTTTCTGCTGAGGAAGATTGGCCCTGGGCTAACATCCGTGCCCATCTTTCTCTACTTTATAATTTATACTTATCAAGCCTGCCACAGCATGGCTTGATGAGCGGTGTGTAGGTCTGCAGGTGGGATCCGAACGTGTGAACCCCGGGCCACTGAAGCAGAACGTGCGAACTTAACCAATACACCACCAGGCTGGCCCTGAGAGGCTTTTTTTAAGAGTGATTATGAAACAGATGAAGAGATAGAGCTACAAGCAGTCAACGTGGTGAAAAAATTGAGAAGAAAAAGTAAGTTGATTTCCATGGAAAAACAACACAATCCTATAAATATGTTTTCAAAGTTCTGCTATGTGATGTGAGCAGGTGCACACACCTGGAAAACCAGCTGACATCACAGGTAAGCCTCTCACCACCTGCGTGGCTGCTATTGCTGTTATTTAAGTTTTTCTCTTTTCTGTATTTTGAAATGTGTGTAGCTTTTCCCATAAATTTTATGAAAAATTTTCTTTTCTTCCTGACTAATCATAGCCAGGCTTCTATAATTTATTGGCACAAGAAATAAAATTGTAAACACTGCTTTTTGCTACCTCTCATCTTTAGGAAGCATTAACAGACAGTGATGACATTTTCTGAGTGTCCAAAAAGTTACCAATCAGCCTCTTTTAATGATAAAATTCAAGTTTTTCAGGTTCTGATATTTTAACATGATCAACATTTTAGGAAATGAAGGTATTATTGTTAACAACTAAGTCACAGAAAAGAAAAAAAGGTAGATCATACATATTTTAGT